CTTATTAAGGGGTAAAGGTGTAAAAAAAAATATTTTAAATAATTTATTTATTTATTTTACTTCTAAATGATCAAAAACAATCTTTGATTTTATGTTTATGAAGTTCTAATCAAAACCTAGGACTTAAGAGGATAAAACTATTCAAGTGAGGTGGCTACCAAATTTTTAGGCCTGTGCCCCCCCTCTGTCCCCCCCTTAGGGATGTCCCTGGTGGCTGACATCTTGAATTGGGATAAATCCAAATGTTAATTTTACTCCAACACCTTAGTTTAGGTGTAAAGTTGACTGAACTGAATGATATCTACCAGTAGGCATTTCTGTGTTTGCTACGGTTGCTGTGGCAGCCATCTTGAATTGGGCTGACTCCAAAAGGTAATCAGCTGTCAATGTGCATCCAATCTAACACATCCTGAAAACATCACTCTGGTGGTTCATGAGATACTTTGCCAACGGTACAGACAAACTCACACATACAGACAAAAAGGCAAGAGGAACGTGCACTCACTAGTGAATCGAACACTTTGAGCCCGTATCGTTGGGAGCTCTCGTCTAAAATACCAAAGAGAGTGTCCAGAGTGTCCTGCAGAAACTTGAACAGGAAGGAGAATAAAGGTTAGTGAGCTGCAGACCTTCAGTTTTCAGACGATCTCTGAAATTGTCAGACAAAATTGGACTGAAATCAAATCATGAGCGAATCACAGCTGAGAATGTGATTTAGGGCCCACCTTGACGATCTCTGAGCCGTCGATCTCTTTCAGTTTGGAGAGGCTGTCGTTGATCCTGTCGGGGTGGGCTCGCCACTTCAACAGGTCCAGCATATCACCTGCAGGAAAACAGAAGGATGAGAAATAACCGCGACGAGCAGAACAAATCGTTTGTTTGTAAAGAAAATAAACAGGAGCACAAGAAGAAGGAACAGATCACAAAGCATCGTTCATTTATAAACCCAAAACGCCACCGAATCCAAACAAATGACAACATTTTCGAGTGCAGCGGGATGGAGGAGATAAAAAGTCATTTTTCCTGAGCCTGGCTCCCCAGACACCCGCATGAATAAAACATAAGCCTTAAGAAGAAAGTCTTTCAATTGGCTCTTGACTTTCTGAAGCGTGTCTTTTCTCAACTGTTGGGAGTCAAATTTGAGCGTGTATGTCTGTGCACATCGCTCGTCTAAAAATCTAATATGTCTCTAATATATATATATTTATAAAAATATATATTTTCCTTTTAAAACTCAGCAATATTTCTTTATTCAACTGCCAAAACAGCATGTATAAAATGCTCATGTAACACCTATTGTGACTATAATAATAATTATGATCGTAGCTGATGCGTTGCAGCTTTTTTAATTAATGCATGAATAACTGTGTATTAAGTTGCATCAGAGACTTAAACAATATCTGCTCATGGTAAAAGATGAAACAAGGAAGATAAACCAACCCATTCCTTCCTGTTTTATTCACTTACTTTAGAGCGCAATAACATAAAGTGGCCACTGAATGCTTTCCATCCAGACCTCAACGTTGAACAAAAACAAACACTCAAAAGAAATAAACAAAAAACACACATTTTAATTATAAATATGAGGTGAATGAAACAAAGTCTATATCACCTTTTTAGATTTTTTAAGCTAAAACATTTTAATTTTATCGTAGTGCTACAATCGTTCTTCAGCTATTTAGCATTCCCCATGAGCTCACCCATGAACATTGTTTCCACTTTAAAATCTTTTCAAAATAAACTACGGTGGCAAAAAACAAACACCTGGACCGTCCAAACTGATTGTTTTTTGGAGTGCGGCTGTAGGTGTTACACTGAAAAAATGCACAGTGAGGAAACATTTTGGTGTGTCAAACAAAACAAAAAAAGACATTTGACAGTTGCAATAATAATATTAATAAATATACAGTATTAATAAATAAACTTAGGAGAAAATTGAACATATTGTAAGTTTGACTTGGATTGGTATTTAGTTTCAGTTTAGTTGATTCACGTTCTTAAGTTGTCACAAATTATTGCAACCAAATGTTTAATGTTTTCAAAATCTTCAGATCTATATTCACCTGTTCCCCATTTGTAATCAGCACATCTGCTTGCCATTTTTCGCTGTATAAGTCACAGTTTTTTTGCATAAATTAACATGCCTATGACATATACAGTGAAGCGACGTGTGTATGTTTTTTTTGCCATATTAATAACCCAATTTTTGGCTGAGATCTGACGATTTCATTCATTCTGACATAGAAAATATTGAACAATAGCATTAGAGTATTATGGCAAGCCAAGTGTCTCATTAATAAGTAAAAGTGGCTATTAAAGACACACTTGACTTGCCATACCAAGCCACCTTCGTCTCGCTCTGGAACTCCTGGAGCAAACGTAAAATTAGCTGCATTTCGCCTGTCCCAATGACAGGTAAACAAACATATTTGCTATTAAAACTTCAGACTACTGAACAGTATATTAGTTGACCTGAAACTGAATGATGATTGTACCCAGTCTCTTGAAGAAATAGTCAGTACTGGGTAATAATAGATTTTTTTGTCCCAACAGAAATGGTCTTTACAAGCTGAAATATTTTACTTTCTTCCTGTTTGTTGAAAAGTTAGTTAAGACATCTTGATCTATTAGATTGGACTACCCTTCGGCTACGTATTGGCAAAGCAGCCAGACCACCTCAACAAGAAAATGGACAAAATGTCCAAGAACGGATTACCGTTTTGCGTGAGCTTGGTGGAACAGAGGAAGCTGGTGATCCAGAAAGACTCCTTGGTCGCTTTTAGCGTCTGATTGTTGGATGGAAGATTGGGCTTGGAAAACGGCAGCTTCAGGTAGCGCGAACTGTCCGCCAGGCTGGAGTTCTCTTCACACTGAAACAACAGAAAATACATACCGTGTACTGTCACTGTAGACACTTGAAACATCATTAAGCACTGACTTTCCAAACACAATCCCATTTTTTTGAGTTGAAGCTTCTTGATGTTTCCAGACGAATATTCAGCCTGATGATGAAGCAACAAAAGCCAATGATGAAAGCCTTGTGCGGATTTATTGGGCAGCCTTGATGTGCTGTACAGCTGAGGCTGTTTAAGATCCAAAGCCACCGCACAGTTTGGACTGATTCCTCCAAGTCTATTTCGGGTCTGAGCAGAAACTAGGCCATGCCAGTTTCATTGAGCTTTTCAACAGCCCTCCATCTGGCATCACAATGGGCCTTCACCCCCTTAACTTGGCCGTGAGAACACACACAGCTCAGAAAGTTGTCTAAAATAAGCAGGAATGGCTTTTGGGGATTGGTGGAGAGAATCTCACATCTGGATAAAGGAGTGCAATAAAAAAAAAAAAAGGTTTTGTTTCCCTACATAGCTGAAAGATCTTCCTAACAATAAAATGTATGAATGTTTCTCTATGTTCCACCGAGAAGGAAGTTTACGTACACACCCTTCGTCTGTGGCTGAGGATCCAGTCTGCAATTATTCTGGATTACACAAAAGACAGCCCTGCAGTAGGTTTTAACCAAATATACTCATTTTATTTTCTTCGGTCTTTAAAAGCGTCAAACTTCAAATGAAAAGATAGTCGATGAGACTTTGGAAAATGGCTGCGATAAAGAAAATGGACATAATAGTCATCCTAATGCAAACAAATACGAATGTAGGGATTACTGATTGGCCTGTAATGCAGTGATGCGAGCCGTTCGTCAGCCGGCGGCACCAAACTGTATGATAAGGGGCTTGAGTACAGTTTGCCATTTAGAGATGATTCACATAATTATATACAGCGTGTATGATCTCCTTTGAAGTACTCCTGGCAACACCTGTGCAAAACAGTTCAATCAGTCAAGAGCCTTTAAGCCACAAATACCTGATGAAGAGAAGAAATTTGGAAAATGAAGATAAACCAAATATAGGCAAACAAATATGTTGCCAAGGATTCAACCCTTTTTCAAGCCCATGTTTTGCTGGCAAAGTCATGGTTGTGAGGGCAAGCAGATATTTTTTTTACCTTATGGATAATGAGCTCATGGATGCCATCTGGCAGAGTCCTACCATCTTCCTGCATCAGAGGAACAAAGGAGTAGCCGAACAGTTTCTTCTCTCCTTTGTCTTTAGCTGTCAAACAAGAACACATGCGAATGAGTCCAAAATAGACAAGAACTGGCTGCAAGGAAGCAAAGTCAAAAGCTTCAGCACCAAGTGAACAATGTTGGTTGGCAAAAATACAGAAGAGTTATGTGTAAACTGGGGATGCTACACAACATTAACTACTGCTGAATAGAATCAGAACGCTGTTCATCCTTTATCACCACAAGAATGGTGTTGCAATGACGATAATATGTTCGTGTAGACTCTCAGGCATGATGCGCTGACTGGACATCTTTTTTCGGAGTTTGGCAAAGTTAAGTTTCTAATCCAAGGAATTTTCTCAATTGAACATAAGAATTCATGCATTAAAATGTAGCGTTGCTCAGTTTATCGAGCTGAACTCGTCTGCAAACACTCTCCCTCCCATTCATCCCAAGAGTCTTTGTTGGTCTGCTTCATGTAAGAGATGTTTTAGGATAAGAATAACTAATGAAGTAGAAAGTTCCCGGATAAACTTTGACAGGAACTGACACATTGCAGCTATTTAAAATTTTTAATTTGACAGCGTCATGTGTTGGTGTTCGCTCTCAGCTACCACCATACCAAATTTCAGCTTAAAATGGCAAATTATCAGTTAAAGTTATTTTTTCTTTTAAGCTATGGTGGCCCTCCTGGATTTTTGATTTGGATTAAGAAAGTGATGGGAAGATTCTCAGCTATAACCACACCAAATATCAGCTCTACCGTATTTTTCAGCTGATAAGTCACATTTTTTTGCATAATTTGCACGCCCTACGACTTATAGGCCGAAGCGACGTATTTATGGATTTTTCCACTTTTTTAGACATATTTGGACTGATGCGAGTTGGTGCGACGTGTACGGCGGAAAATACGGTATGTGTGTAAAAATAGATGAGTTAAAGCCATTTAAATTGAGCTTTGGCGACCATTTTCAATTATTCAAAATTATTATTTACTGGGCATTGATCTCTGCTACTACCATACCAAATTTCAGCTAAATATCTCTAAAAAATGTCTGGTTTACAGTATGTTTTCCTTTTAGCTCAGGTGGCCATCTTGAATATTTGATTTGCAACGACAGTCTATGAAAATTTACTAATAAAAATGGCCTCTTTGTTTGCAAATTACATCGTCACGGTAACTCGAAACACCAATAAATGTGATAGTGCACATCACAGTGCCGAGTCAGCTGTTTTGATCCAACATTTGTGGGGGTACACATTGCATTTCGGGCCAAATTAAAGTTGACAAGCGTAAGATATAAAGTTAAGAAACCTTTGTCAGGTGGATAATAAAAGATGGCTGCCTTACCAGGCACTGTCCAATAAAGAGAAATGTGGGTATTAACAGGATGTTGAGATGCTATTAGGCTACATGCTGAAGGAAGATTAATGTGGACTTTCTGAAGCTTTGTGCATGATTTGCATTACAAACACATGTAATTTGATTTATTAGATGCTTTAGCAGTGAAGTGCTAAGTGTGCACAGCAGGAGGTCAAAAGTCAGCAATTCATTTGGTTTTTTTGTGTGCGTATGTGCAATTTCACTAAGAAATAACAAGCTATACTATAGCAAAATTACAAATGAATACCCTTTGTTATTTTTTTTTTGCCCTATGCTGGTTATGTTTGCTATCACTTAGTCTTACAAATATGGACACCACTTTTCTAGAGTATACACAGAAAATTATTAAACTTACCTCCAAACAAAAGCATAGCTTTCACTGATGGTAAGTAATTATTGCAAAAACAACAGCACTTTTATTTTGATTTACAGGAAATAGGAGTTAGCACCATACATTTGGAGCTTTTGCATCTCACATACAGCTTTGTCACTTTGGTGTCACCACAGGTCTAAATTACGATCCGAGCAGGTCGCCTTTGGGTGGCAATCCTAGCATTGACAGCAGTAATAAGCCTACTACATCTACTGCACACAGTTAAAGCCCTTTGGCAACAACAACAACATCGGCTCATTACAAGAGAAAATGCTCTGCCATGCCCCTGTATGCCAAGAAAAAAAGATCAGAGAGTGAAAGGCATCATTTTTATCTCATTTGGAAATGAACAGTTGAACAAACTAGTGATATGACTAAACTGCTTTTATAAGGTTACGCTTGTACATTTGGGCACAGTCTGTTTGGAAGGGAGAGCTGCGTGACAGAATGAGATCATTCATGCGAGAGAAAAAAGTGACTGCCAGCACGTTCTTTTTTCCCAGTGATGTGTGCAAAGGACTGAGCAAACTGGTAAATTAGATGGCATCCAATATATTTCCAAGGGTTATCAATAGAATAAAATCTGGTTTATTAATAGTGAGAAAAACTCAGGCATCGTGTAAGTAAAAACGTACGATTTTGTTGACAATCATACTTACTAGAGCAATGCCGAAACTCAAAGCGGACGTGCGATCCTCGAAACATGTCAACCGGGATGGGCAGTTTAATCTGCTCGGCCCAGCGGGGGCTGTTGTTGTGGTATAGCACCAGCGAATGGTACTCATCCCCACCTGGTTCGCCTGAGCCGGCGGCCACGTAACTCTGAAAGACAGCGAGGAAAGAGCTGAGGAGGTGAAAGACCGAACCAAAGCAAATAAAGTGACAGAGATAAAGTTGACACAAGTATTTATATGTGTTAGGGAGGTTGCGTGCCGTGTGGTGGCAGCAGGGCTATATTTGACACGATTTTCCCCTCAAGGCCAAAGCAGAGGAGGAAACAACAGCGGCAGAATGTCACATTGGCTACACATCTGAGAGACACTTGGCTCTCATCTGGGTGAACCATTTTTACATAAATGGGTTTACACAGTCCCTAAAAATAGAACTAAAACCACTTTTGTTTAATGAACAAGATAGAAATAGCTGATGCGTTTACCTTAAGAATTTGTCCATCAACATCCAGCACATAAACGGTGATCTCTACGTTCCGGGCGACGCTCTTCCCACCCTTTTCAAACTCTCCTTTCTCTAATGTGATGTAAAGGTCATTCCTCATTTCTCCTGCAGAAACAGCAAAGTAAAAAGGCCAGGAGGCATTGATTATGCATACAATCAAATAACGAAGACTGCTTTTTTTTTTCTTTTTGTGGAATATGTTATGGTAAGGACGGACAGCATTATTGTTGGTGGTATTTAACGGTATACTTCATGCAGACATAATACTCAGCCTAAAGCGTTGACATTTGAGTGTATGAAAAATACGACTTTTAAACAGACGTGTCATTTTAATGAACAAGAAAAACTCACGGCATTGACATTATCTATAATCAAGTTAAACTGCTTCTGTGGTGTAATGCAACAAGCTCTAATAAGGAATACAAACAAACCACAATTTTTTTACTTGCAATTTTTAAAAACAACTTGTGAACCCAGATAAGACATGTAGTTTATTTTGATTATATTATTTAAAGTTTAAGAAACTGAAAATGGTGCATCTTTATTTCTTCTTAAAGTATTCCAGCTCCCAGTTGCGCTGTTCATTACTTCAGATATGGTCTAAGCTGTTGTCTCATCAACAATAGATTACATGCACAAGAATAAATACTATTTATAAAAAACTTTGGGTTATTTAATTTAATTTTGGGTTTTGGTTATTTAGTTGAGTTACGTTCTTAGTTTTGTCACAATTATTGCAACCAAATGTTGAACGTTTTCAAAACCTTCAGCTCTATACTCGCCTGTTCCCCATTTGTAATCAGCACATTTGCTTCTCATTTACTAATCACCACTTGCACTGTACACTGTATGGTCCTTGGTAACACAAAGACTGGGTTCAAACATCAGAACTCGATCTTTATTGCAGTGATGGTCTTGCTCAAGCTTTTGGTCGACCACCTATGTGTCATGCTAAATGCACATGACTGCATGTAGTACATAAAATTTGAAATTTGCTGTCCATCTTCTCAGGGGGCCACAGTTACTGAAAGCCAACAGACTCACGGGCTGGATATCCAGCAATTAAAGTCATTATGTAAATAAACTATTACAATGATCTGTTTACCTTTTAAATTTATTTTGCTGTATTGAATCATAATGGGGGCCGAGATGGTGTAGAGGCAGGGCAGCCGGCTTGGGACCCAACAGTCCCAGGTTCGATCCCCAGTCACTGCACATCACGTGGCGTCTCTGGGCAGCACGCCTCATCCCCAAAATGCCCCCCAGGTGATGACATTATTATTAAATGCAGGATTGCCTTTCTGACTGAAATAATTGCCATTTCAAATATTTTAAAGGTGTCGCTCACAGATTTTTTTCTGATTGTTTTTCTCTAATTTATTTCAGATCGGAGGCTATGTGTTCAACATAATGGTATTACAGTTATTTAGCAGTCAACAACGGTGTACCACAAGGCTCAGTCTTAGGACACATCCTTTTTTACAATCTACATAGGTATTGTAAGTCTGAGCATCCCTGATGCATCCTTACATTTCTATTTATTGTCGAGCTAAAACAGTTGCTAAGGCTTTCTAGCTTTTGCAATCTGCTTTCGCCATCATCAGGTCAGATTTGTTTAGTCTCAAACTTGTCCTAAATGCCGACAAAACCAAAGAGATGCTTTATTCAAACAGGAAGTCGGTCCCAGCAGTTCTTCCTCTGATTTTTATCCTCAAATGGTGTCCCTATTGCGTTTGTTGATTCCTACAAATATTCGGGTATCTTGGTCAATTTGCATCTCTCTTAAGCTTCACATGGAAAACCTAATAAAGAAACTGAAAGTTAAACTGGGTTTCATTTTCAGAAATAGATCCCGTCTAACTCTGAATGCTAGGAAACGCCTTGTAACTGCTACTTTCCTTCCCTCCATTGACTATGGTGGCATTATTTACATGAACGCTCCTACAAGCACTCTACAGATGCTGGACACTGTCTATCATGGTGCACTGGCTGTAAATACCGTACCCACCACCGCACCCTGTATTCACTGGTTAACTGGACATCATTAACTTCACGCAGACTCTCTCACTGGTACATTTTCATCTTTAAATCCCTTCTTGGTCTGCTGCCTTCATACATCTCCTCCTACATGTCTCTGCGTGAGTGCAGCTACAGCGTGCGCTCTCATGACATCATTACATGCAGTGTTCCCCCAGTGCGGACTGAAATAGGCAAAAGGGCCTTCTCCTACTCCGCTCCTGTTTCCTGGAATATCTTGCAAAAAGATCTGAAGTTCTCGACTTTTTTCCTACTTTTCCTTTTAATTATCTTTTAATTTACCATTTTATTTTCACTTGTTAATTTTTTTATTTTTATTTGTACGCATCCTTTATGATTGTCTATTGTTGTTGTTGTCCACTGTTGTCATCATTCTTTGTTAAAATTCAGGTTTCTCTTATAAATGAGCCCCTGAGGCTCAATGGGATTAACCTGTAATGGTTGAATTTGTTAATCAACTCATCGGCAAGCTGGACTAAAGTCACCCGCAGGCCAAAAGTGACCCATGAGCCGCCAGTTAAATAGCCCTGGCCTCATTATGGGGTGTTCCATTTTGTTGTTGAATATTTTTAACTTGTTTTCTTAATGTCTGAATTGAGAGGTGCATGGGGATAGGGCTAACAATAAGAAATGGGATTAAATAGGCTCATATTTGGGCAAACTGATGTCACATCTGTTTATGTAAACACATATTATTGGCGACGGATGACGTCTTGGCTTCTTGAATGGGTGTTCGATTTCATGGAGATATTTTAACACACACCCCTTGCTACTTCAAATAAAAGGCCAAGAAGTTGAGAAAGGGGGAACATTAGCAGTAAATTAGCCTCGATTTCGGAGTCTTCAGATCTTTAGTGCTGGTCAGTCTCATACTACGACAAGCTAAAGTCTGCAACAACACTCAATGAAAATAACCCAGGAGCTAACTTTTTTTTTAACAATATATAATGACTGTGCCAGATATATTTAACTACTTCTGCAGATGAAGCATAAACTGAGCAAGACATGGGTTGAGAACAGGAAACGGTTGTTTCCTCTACAGCCAGCCTTAAACACATTGTAGAAACAGGAACTTCTAAACCTCAGTGTGTGCGCTGATCATATCTCTACCACAAGGGTCAACATTGATTTTCTGTGTGTAACAACAGAAGTCATGGCAACATGGAAGGTTCTATACGAACCCATAGTGTATTGTTACGTCACGCACAGAGATACACAATTCTATAGACACAAATGGACCAGGAAGGCTGAAACACACGGGGAAATTGTTTTATGCACAGGACAATAGAAAAACAGCAAGTATGGTTAGAGGTGGTAAAGAAGCCTGACAAAGAAAAAAAGCACTTTAGTTTGGGCAAAAAATAATGAGAAAAAATGTACATTCAGTCTGATACAAATCAAGAAAATTAGCATTTTAAAAAATGAGGGTGTGTTTCCTTTGCCCAAGGGGAAACTTACACCAACAGAAAGAGTGCGAGCACTCAGCATTAAGGGTTTGTAGCCGGACAAAGACAATGGAAGAGATGGTGACCATAAATCTGTGTTAGTGAGGCCCTGGGGTGGCACAGTCTGCGGTTCTCTTTATTCAGCAGACCAGGCAGGATTCCAGGTTTATTTAAAAGACCCGCTTGTCTGTGAACGAATGTCCCCCCTGTGTCCTGCTTTCAGAAATGAGACCAAAAGGAAATTCATACAGGGTTCCCCTCACTACTGTTCCTCCTACATATGTAAAAAGGAACATGTACCGGTTTAGTCTCCTGTTTCATCTCACAGCCAAGTGGTTGTGCATTTGTTACCAAGGCAACAGGACCCCATCCAGCTAAGCCTCAGGGTCTCTGTGGGGGTTTGTGTCATTTAGAGTGCCTGCTATTTTCAAGACAACGTGAATATTGCAGGGATTCCCTAAATGGCTATTTAAATATTGCAAAAAGTAAATATAGAAGGTGTTTTGAAGACCATTTCAGAGGGCGGAGGTTAACTAATAAAACAGAGACTGTCACATAAAGAATACAATGATGTCATGTGTCCTGACTCAATAACCTCGATGCTCGTTTTGTGAATGCTGTTCACACAGGCCAACCTTTTTAGCACACATCAGGTAAGTAATAGCTGTTCCTGTATATGTATAAAATGGAATTTGATGGATCATGAGGTAATTAGATACATTTTCTTGGAACCGGATTGTAGGCTGAAATAGCTTAGAAGAGCATTAGACTGAAGATCTGAAGGTTCCTGATTCAATCCCTGGTTTTAGCGGCACAGTGGCACAGTTGGTAGAGCGGCCGTCTCTCAGTGAGAAGTTTGCCAGATCGAATCCAAGTCGGGGACCTTTCTGGGTGGAGTTTGCATGTTCTCCTTGTGCATGCGTGGGTTTTCCCCGGGTACTCCGGTTTCCTCCCACAGATTAACAACATGCATGTTAGACTGATTGGTAACTCTAAAATGTGCCTAGGTGACAGTAAGAGAGTGAATGGTTGTTTGTCTCGTTTGTCTCTATGTGTCCCTGTGATGGTCTGGAGACATGTCCAGGATGCCCCCTGCCCCTTGCACAGCTGTATATGGACACTAGTGACCCCTGCAACCCAGAAAGGAATAAACAGGTAAAAGATAATGGATGGGTGAAACTGAGTAGTTAGGAAAGTGGTTAATTTCCTTTTTATTCTTGAATATTAAACTACAAATAATTATAACGTGTCTTGTTGAAGCTAATTTCTGAAATAGGGTCTCTGTTTTAGGAGCAAAAACTATCTTTATCAGACTTAGAGACACAGTTGAAAACTGGTTTCATACCTGGCATGATGATATCAGAGAAGCCCAGTTTCCTGGTGATGCACACCCCGCGGGTGAAGAGGCCCATGTACTCCCGCCTTAGTTGCTCGATGTCCCCGTGGAGGAGCTGGAGAGCCACAGCCAGGCCTAAAATATGAGATAATGACAACATCCAAAGCCTGAAATAACATTCTTACAAGGCCACAACATTGCTCTTGGGTTTTTGGCTTTTTCTTTTTTGCCAAAGCTACTTCATACAGAGCTGAAAATACATCCCAAAACTATTGTCAACACAATAAACAGCTATGTATTGGTGGAGTAAGAAATGAGGAACACAAAAGGGAAAATCTCATGTTTTATTACAGCTACATGGTCGAACTAACCAGATGATTACAGGTATACATCAGCCAACAGCAACACGGACCTTGTGGAGAACAAGTAGAAAAAAAATACTTTGTACAAGCAGACAATGAGTCATCCCCTGCTCTTTATTAGGAGAAAATATTACATGAAGGCAACTGTCTCAAATCCATGAGCAATAAATGAAAATGTCAGTGACGGTAAATTAGAGCGCCCAGCTTGAACCCACTGAGTAAAAGACACAATGTCAACGATTAGTCTAGTTGAAAACCGTATTTAGCCATAAACAGTATATCTCCAGCTACATTTAGACCACAAAGACTGATTTGAACTTGCCAAACTTCTTCTATTCAACATCTAAATGTGGTTTGAGACGCCTGGTAAACTTTGACTTTAAGTCCAAATGTTGGCAAATTTTAGCCTAGAGATGTCTAAGGATATTTTAGATGTCTTTTAGAAGCCTTTTCAACTCCAAACTGCTTAGGTGCCATTTAAAGCTCAAAATATTTAAAGTCTGCTTGTTATGATTCATGTTCAGGATGAGGAGAGGCAAAGTAAGTGTAGCTGTGCCATCACTAAAGGTTTCATGTGACAAAAGTAAGAAGGTAATAATCATTGTTATGACAATAATTAGGCTGCAGCCCATATGCACAGATAAGCAAGACGTTAAACTGAAAAATAAGCTTTCAAACCAGTCTTTTAGAAAGCTTGTTTTGTTGAGTCGGTGACTTTGATAATGTTTTACAAATTACTGCCATAAAACCCACTAACAACCATTTTCAGTGACTTTAAGAGATACTCATCTTTGAATATGTGGGGGTCAAAAAGGCAAAGACATTATTGTTAAACCTGATAACAGTTAGAATTCAGTAACTGGGTGCCCTCACACAGTTTGTCTACGAAAGGAGAAACAAACCCTGCAGTTCCTCAAATGGCCACTAGAGGCAGGCTCAGTTTTAGAACCCTCAATTTTGTTGGGACTTTCTCTCTCAGAGCTATGACTTACAAAATATTTCTGTTGTGAAAAACTATAATTTGTTGACTAAATGCTAAGGCATATGGTAATGATAGTACAAAAATGTGTATCTTCTACACAAAGATGTAACAATAACTGTGTTCTTAACAATACTAACACTTTATGTAAATTTTTATAGTGTAACAAGCATGAAGCAATATTATATTGATCCTATTTTAACCTAACATGTGGAATAAGTCAGCAAATATTCAAGGGTGTCATTTTCAACCCCCCCCCTCCCCCCGGATTAATAAATAACACATTAATTATTTATTTCATTATTTCCATCCATCCATCCATCCATCCATATCTATCTACCCATCTACCCACCAATCATCTACCCACTAATCTACCCAAAAATCATCTATCAACCAGTCTACCAATCTCCCTATCCATCTACTGTATCTATCTATGTATCCATCATCCATCTATCCATAAATCCAACTATCTACCCATCCATCTATCATCTATCCATCTATCATCTATCTATCTAATAGCAGGATAATAAAAAAGAAGAAAAAAGAAAGAAAAATAAATGTAAATAAATAAAGCCTTATCCAATCCTTTGGCTTTTATAAACATTCACATTGAAGACAGTCAGGCTTCATCAGCTACTGAAAGGCAACAGTTAGGAAAACAAGCTGCATCACAGATAGATGCAGCTGAGGCTGACGAGAACACCCTCAACCTTTGCTGTTCTCAGCCCACCCAAACTGCCTCTTCACAAACTTAAAAAAGACAGCGAGAGAGAGAGAGAGAAAGAATGAGGAAAAACAAAAACTCAAAAACACATCTGAGCGAGCTGTCGCAGCCTCTTCTGTGATGCCTACGCGTGCATGTGGACGTGGGAGCTGAATTATCCACCTGACTCATGCTCAGCGAAATTCTTATGAAATCCCTTCTGTGGTTCACTGGGTGCATGTAAACAAAACTCCACACAACCAACCTCTCTACTGGCCGTTGAATTCAATCACCACTAAATAACAGGTGACCTTGAAACGCTCATGTACAGGAAAAAGATTATCACGAGGCTACAAGAGAACAAAGGAGTTCTCCACCTATTTTAACAAAGTCCTGTGTACGGCCGAGTTTGAGGATATTTGTTTTTGTTCCCATGCAAAGACAGGAAAGTGGAACAAATGTACGTTTTAGTTAGACACAGACTATTTTAACACCTTCTTTCTTGTCTAAAAAGTGATTCTAAAACTGTTCTGGTCTTTGGATGTAACAATAACTTCACTGACATTTTGGTAAACACCTAATGTATCAGTGTCCAAAAATGTTCAAGCCTAAAACATCTGACAGATTATGCAACATAGTTTGTGTTTCGGCAGATGGAAGATAACACAAAAAACATTAAGGGGCTGTTCATACTTGACACTAAAATCTGTCCCGAGAGAACAGATCGCAGGTCTGAACAGCAATGATGCACTGAAAACATCAACTATTCACATTTACTGCAAAGTCTGTCATAAACAGGTGCGGTCATATTACCCTATACAGATTGAAATTGCAGGGTATAAACTATGTAAGATACTCACAAATAATAATAATAATAATAATAAAAAGCTGTAGAAGCACACAACAAACTATATATGCACAAAACAATTAGACACACATAAACTATAGAACACAACAAGCTAAAGAAGCACAAACTATAGACACACACAATAAACTATAGACAAACACAACAACTATAAACGCACACACCAAACTATAGAAGTACACACCAAAATATAGATGCACACAGCAACACACAACAAACTACAGAAGAACACACCAAACTATAGAAGTACACACCAAAATATAGATGCACACAGCAACACACAACAAACTATAGAAGAACACAACAAGCTATAGAAAAGCACAGGAAACTACAGCAGCACACAATATAGTATAGAAGCACGCAGCAAGATGCAGAAGCACACAACAAACTGCAGAAGCACACAACAAACTGCAGAAGCTCACAACAAGCTGCAGAAACATGCGATAAATTATTGAGGCACACAACAAACTGCAGAAGCACACAACAAAGTATAGAAGCATACAACAAAGTATAGAGGTACACAACAAAGTATAGAAGCATACAACAAAGTATAGAAGCACACAAC